CCCCCCAGTGCACGAATTTCGTGGCCCCTAGTTAACAATAAAATAAAATAACAATCTTAAACAATTCTTTCTGGACTTTAGGGAAAAATGAAAGCAGATTATCAGAACTTACTAGGAATACTTTCTTCTTTCCTAAGAACCTGTAATGCTTTTATTTGCTGAGATATGGTTCTAATCCACTGAGTCAGATTTGGTTGGTCTGAAAAATTTAACCTGCTAGAAAAAATTATAAAAAGTATTTAGTAGTTTGTTGTTGTTGCTTAGTTAAGATATAAAGACTCCTTAAATGATCATGAGCCTAATATTTTAAGCATATTTTTGCCAATGAAAATAGAAGTATATTATTTGTTACTATGATGCTAATAACATTATTTGTCAAAAACTTCGCTTTTTTCAGTATTGGAATTTGCAAGTATTTCTGAAATATTACAGTCCTCATACCACCACCATTATTTACTGAGTGCTTATTATGTGACAAGCACTTAGCAAAGCATTTAACAATATTAGATTCAATCCTCAAATATTAATGAAACCAGTTATATTATTATCCCCATTTTACAGATGAGGAAACTGAGGTTTAGCACTATCTAACTTGACTAGGCCATCTAAGGAACAGATCTGGCATTCAAACCCAGTCATATCACACTCCAAAGCCTTTATTCTTCATTATTATGCCCAAATTGGCTATTATGAGAAAAAATACAAAACTTAAACCACCAAAGTGAGGTGAAATCCAACAAAGGTGTTTTTTTTCTCCTTCTATGTAGTGAATCCTTAATCTAACAATGATTAATTTATCAGTTCAACTACAGATAAGTCAATACCATGATTTCCTTTTGTGATTAAAAAGCATGAGCTTGCAAGGCTCCTATGAACCAGGAGGTCACGGTTCGAATCCCAGTCAGGGCACAAGCCTACTTGGCGGGCTTGATCCTCAGTGTGGGGCCTGCAGGAGGCAATCAATCAATGATTCTCTCATCATTGATGTTTCTATCTCTCTCTCCCTTTCCCTTCCTCTCTAAAATTAATAGATTCATATTCATAAAACTTAAATTAGTATTTGTTCACGTAGATACCATAAGTCTAAATTGAGAAATGAAAATCAGATTTAAATAGTAGACAGTATTAAATCCATATTTTGAAATAAGTCACACCTATTAACTAGAAGCACCCTAAAATTTTTGAAATGACAAAAACTTTCAATTTTAAATACACCAAGGGATTTTCACTGTTTTGGCCCAACTCCTGAAGCTATTATCAGCCAATAATTTGCAAAAAAATTATATTTGTTAGAATATTCAATAAAGTCCATTTGAGCTTCTGTTCTCTCCTCTATCAATTTACTGAGCATCTCTTGAAAAGTAAGCAGGATCCTAGAAATAAAGACAGTTTCCATGAATACAAAGGAATTTTCTATAGTGTCTATGGATAAACAAGAAATTGTTAATTTTTGGCCTATTTCTTTCTAAAAACCAAAATATTTTATAGGCCTGCTAGAAGAAATGACTAAATAAAAAGTTTGGAAAGTATCTGGAAAACATTATACAATTACCTAGATTCCCCCCTCTGGGCTTATTATTTCATTATCTTCAAAGGCAACTATTGCTTTGCTATAAAGATTTTATGAGCCAAAACTTACTTGTTAAAAATATTTCTTGGAGGAAGCAGCAGTGGAATAACAGTGTTACTCAAGCACTCACAAAGGGGACAAAGGAATTCTCCATTTTCTACATCATAGCTTGTATGTAAACGTAATCTCTGTTGCCTTCGCTGTTCTTTAGCTTGAACGGAATCAAAATACCTTTACAATTAGAAAACATGAGGGATCAAAAACAACGGTAATTTTTTTCAGTAAGTACCATAAGCCTCAATCTTTTAAATAATTTGTTTTCACAAATAATGCAAAAATAAAAATCTTAACATGAACGGAATTATTTATAATACTGGTGCTTTAATTTCTGAGTTGCTTTAATGATCAGAATGGGTTCTAAGAGTTCTAAAACAGGAAAATGTGCAGTTATCCCAACTTAGTGTAGGGAGCCATGGCAACCTCAGGAAGTAACAAGTACACTGTAAAAATATTTTCTTCATCTAGTTTGTTAGTGGACATAGATCCCCACATTAAAAAATATAGCTGATATACTATGAAATTTGTCATTCCTTCATATGTATGACAAAGCAACTCAATTTTAATTGTTATTTATTAGGCAGTGATGTGGAGTTTTTAACATTTTTAGTTCTTTTTCCCCTTTTCTAGAATGGAATTCCCTATATATAAAAATTCAATTTTGAACCTCTGAATAGCTTTTCTTACCAATATTAAGAATATATTACCTTTGCCAACAATGGGCATGCATAACGTGTCCACAGCTACCAGTGTGTGTTCCACAGGACAGATCAGGGTGCATGAATAATGGATCGTATTTTTCTGCATTACAAACAAACAAAACCCAAGCTTTTAGTTTTTGTGAAATCCTTGATAAGGGCTTGTAAACTTGAAATGAAATGCTAGTTTATTCCTTTCCTTTGAGATACCAATGATTTATGCAAGACCCTGGATTATTTAGAAAGCAGGACCCTTTAACTTTCATCACCCTGGGCAAATAAAACATCCCTAAATTGTTAAATAAAATTGGAATTCTGTATTTAAGCACATCTAAGCTTTTAAACATCTCATACTCTCAGGGCACTGAGAGACTCCCATTCCCTCCAGAAGCCCCGAGCTCAGTAAAAGGGATACTCTTCATGGGGCTGCATTTAACACCTCAGGGCAGCTGGGTCACAGTGATCTCTAGCAAAACAGATGTTTTGGCAGCAACGGGGCACCCCCTAGAGAAGGCTCTGCCTAATGACAACCCATGCAGAGAAGAACCCCAATCACTGGACCAGGGTCCAAGCAGCAGCAAAATATCCAGGACAGCGGCCCAGACCAGAGGTGGGGAAAAGGGAAAATCAGTTTCTGCTCTGGTGCTAATTTTTAACATTCAAAGGAAATGAAAACTAAAGACAACCATAATATGGGTGCCTGGTTTCTTTTGGAATATTTCGAGTTCTCTGTGTACAGTAAATTAGTATTATCCTAGAAATTCTATAACATTATAGAAAGAATTACTCAAGTTTCAATTTGATTGATAGAACAGTGAAAATATCACAGCATAAAGAAAATCTGCTTACAGCCAGCCAACGTTTTTTTCTTCATGAAATAACAAAATAAATAAACTTGGCAACTTTCTCTTTGATCTGGAATGAAATTATAAATCACCTGGTTCAAATGACCATTTCAAAAGATGCGAACGGACCAATCTTTCCTAACTGGGTGCTTGGCCGTCACACTAAGCGACTTCCTTACAGAGAAAAGGCAATCTTACCAGTGAGTTTCCAAACCTCCTCTCAGTCCTACAGCGTGGAAGGCACTTGCTTGCCTTTGGCAAGTCCAGAGACAGTTTCTACTCTCAAGAAACTTACTGGTATTGCTGAAGCATATGCACACATGAACAACTCTGAGAGGGGAGACAAAGTGTCTCTGGTGGACACAGTAACGTGCAGCTAGACGCCTCTGCAGGAATGATGGCTTACTCCATCAGCAGTAGGAAGACACTCTCTGTCATTCCTCTGTAAGGGATGACTGCTTTGCTCAAGGTCACACCTCTTTCCAGAGGACCCCCAAAGCAATCACTGATCAGTTTCCGGGTACGAAGACCAGCCCCCTTGCCCCAACTCAGCATGCCTCTGGAGGACCAACCAGCTCAGAGCGCCCATGGGACTGTGTGAGGGCTTTTGTGACAGCTTAACTTCTCCCGTGCCCAAACTTGCTTCCTTCTCCCGGTCCCACACATGCTGATGCCAAGGCTCTCCCTAATAAACGTCCCAAACGGCAATCTCTATCTATCTCAGGAATTTTTCTGGGGAGAAAAAAATTAAAAAAATCTTTCAGGGGAACCCTATCTGAGATACAATCACTACTCTAAGCCAGAGTCTGACTCAAGGGTTGCTTCTCACCTAGGTAACTCACACAACTGTTCTCAAGACAGTACACTTTGGATCTATCCAGGAGACAAAATAATTGTTATTCCTGTGTGTCAACTCATATACAAGCGTGTTGAGGAATGAGAATGATTAAGTAGCAAAGCGTGTTAATGTTATATTACAAAGAAAAACTTTCCTTTGAATCCCTGGAATTTACGAGCTGTGTAATTCAGAAACAATATTTAGCCTTCTGCAATGTTTCCATATCGGTCAAGTGGGGGAATTTCTGCCTAAGTTACCTGTCGAAGATACCACCAAGACTATGGAGTTATTGTTAGTTTAATAAAATTTCTGTGTACACCACACACACTAGGTGGCAGTCATTATTTTTTTAAATATATCTTTATTGGTTTCAGAGGGGAAGGGAGAGGGAGAGAAACATCGATGAGAGAGAATCATTGATTGGCTGCCTCCTGCACACCCTCAACTGGGGATGGAGCCCATAAGCCAGGCATGTGCCCTTGACTGGAATTGAACCAGGGACCCTTCAATCTGTAGGCAGATGCTCTATCCACTAAGCCAAACCGCTAGGGCGGCAGTCATTATTAAAAGGAGAGGATGAAGCTATGACTTACCTGGATCCTGAATGACTTTATTTCTGTTTTTTGATAATACAGTTGATCTTTGAACAAATGCTGCTAGTACCATTGCCTTGCTTTCCACCTTCACCTCTTGCTCCTCTTGACACAAAATACAGGTAACAAATTGTCTTTGTTTAGGGACCTGAGTTTGTGCTGGGCCCAATGCTGTAAGTGTTGTATCTGACACCATAGGGCTGTAATGAAAGGTCATGAATATAATTAACGAGCCCAAGAAGTTTCTATATAATCACAAAACAATACCTGCCAGGTATGCACACATATGGTTTTGATGACTTAAAATGCCAGAAATCTTTCGTATTTATCAAACCATCTCCTTTAATCCTTAGAACCTTCAATATGCAACACAGAAGCCATACACTCAGTTAACTGAGCCTCGTGTACTCACTCTTTGTTTTGTTTTTGTTAATCCTCACTAGAGGATTTTTTTTTTCCCATTGATTTTTAGAGAGAGTGGAAGGAAGGAAGGAAAGGAGGGAGGGAGAGAAACACTGATGTGAAAGACACAGCGATTGGCTGCCTCCTGCACATGCCCTGGACAGGGGCTGGGGGATCGAATCTGCAAGCCAGGTACGTGCCCTTGACTGGGAATTGAACCTACAACCCTTTGGTGTGTGGCTGGTGCTCTAATCACCGAGCAACACCTGCCAGGGCACTGTGTACTCATTCTTTTGTGAGTGACAAGGGTCTCTGTATAACATTTTAAGCATACACGTTAATTATCTATAGTTAGAGATACACTCATATACTAAAAAACTCATTTATAAGATTAATTCCTTTAACTAGAGGCCACAGAATTTACCTATCAATCTTCTAAATTACTTTAGGATAAAAACTGTACTTTATGGAAAAAAATTCCTTCACAGTTGAGAATCAATGGTCAAGAGATTGAAAATTTTTGATTTTTAAAATTCTTACCTATTGTCAAGAACAGCAAAGTTAGAGGCTTCCTCTGCTACTGTCTGTTGGAAGAGGTCTTTGTTCTCGTCAATGAAGTTCCGCTGCATCTCAGACATCTGGGCCATGACCTTTTCCCGGCGCAGTCTGGCAATCTCAGCTTTTCTCTTTCTCTCAGCCTTGTCTTTGTCTCTTGAACTCTGAAATTATGCTTCATTTAATTAGACCATTAAATGCTAAAGAAAATCCCGCCCCCCAAAAAAACCCCAGAAATATCTTTATTGTAAATACTAATTAAAAACTATTCTACAATCTCACTTTTCTAAACAAAAGATTTCTTTATCAACCTAACATGTTAAAAAAAAAAAGCAGACTATAACTATTAAAAATAGACTAGTGGCACCTTTCTTGGAATTTACATTTTTGTGACTAATATCAACTATCAACTTATTGCAGATCAATTTAAATAGTGAACTTGCGACAATTTTTTGGTGTTACCACACTCTACTTTTTATACCTCTTCTGTTATGGTTCCTTCTGTCTCTGCCACAGAACTGGCGGATGAACTCTCCCTCATTTTCTTAATAGCATTAAAAGTCTACAAAAAAAAAGCATCAGTTATTCTGAAGCTATGAAACATTATCAAAATTTAAAATAAGCATTTAATGTTTCTCACAAAAAACAAGAGTGATGTAGAAAATTGTACCTTTAATATCCACCTAATCATGTCTTTGTGGACTTCCAGGTAAGGAGCATTCTGCAGTGTTTCCAGCATTGCTAGTATGCTGGGGGAGGTGTTTGGTGCTTCACCAGGTTCTAGGGCAGAAAAAATAAAAGGCGCAATAACAACAGCTAGCACTTCATAGCACATACTACTATGCACAAGATAAATGAAGTTGCTTATAACATCATGAGCCTATCAGTTATTTCAGCTCTACTTATTATAGATTTTCAGTACTTCTTAAGAATGTGACATATTTGTACTTCACAAATAAGTTAACAACTAGAAAGCTTTAATCTTTCAAAACTGACATCTTATACCAAAATGATTACTTTAATTAATTAAAGTCCAGCTAAAAAGTCTTCCTGAGATTCTATAAGTCTAAGAAAATGAATTGGGATTACAGGGGTGCATTTGTGTTTAAATATACCAATTTGCTGTGACCTTCTCTTTAATAAAACCTAAATATAAAAAATTCTTTCTTTATGAATTATTTCTTTATTTGAGGAAAAGACATGAAAGGTAAGTCCACAATTTTAAAAAAAGGTTTTTATTGATTTAAGGGATCTGGGATTGAACCTGCAACTCAGGTACATGTTCTTGGTGGATAATTAAACCCATGACCCTCTGGTGGGCAGGCCAACGATCTAATCACTGAACAACACCCATCGGGGCTCAAATCTATATTATTAAGAGTACATTTAATCCAACGTTAGCTATTTTGGTTTTATATTAAGAAATGCCCAATTACTGAGTTTTCTTATACATGTCCTTTTTATTTTTTAAAATCTTTATTACTGAAAGTAATACATATTTCTCCCTTTACGCCCCATTATAATTACTGATTTTCTTGATTTAAGTGTTACCATTCTAGCAAACTGTTCCTCTTTCCTAAAAGAAGAGATTGAACTATGTGATCTTTCATATTTTTCCAGACCTAAAATTCTGTGGCTAGAGATTAGGGATCTGGCTTTAAATAATGTGTTTTAATTATTTGAAATGTTTAGAGAGAAATATGAGGAATGTTCAGAGAAAATGATTGTTGAGAGGAAGAAAAGAGAGGAGGGCAGGGAGGGAGAACCTGAGATCGTCAAAAGATGAGTTAATGAAATTAGGAAGTTTTCTATGTGGTTATTTTAAAGTAAAAGCACTGGTGATAAAGAAGAGAAAAGGCAATGTTAATACACAGAAAGAAATACTGGCAGAGAACAGTAGCGAAAGGCTGGCACCTAAGACCACAGTTTTCAGTGAAAAGAGGCAGTTTCCTCTCTTCCTCCCACTTAACTGGGTGAGGGCAAAGGGGGAAAATGGAGATCTGTGAGCACACAGGACTATTCCTGCCCACCTCCCAGTAGAACCTGATATTCTCAGTCATCATCTTTTAGGAGGAAATGGCAGAGAACACAACACTAAACAAAGCTATAAATATAATCCCTTGCAATCGGGGAATTCATAGACGCCTATTTTACCATCTCAGCATTTAAACACCTCAGCAAATGGTTGATGGTGGTCTGGGGCAGAGAGAGTACAAGATGAGCCCGGGGCAGTCATCTTTTGTTCCCAAAAGCAACGGGCCTCTAGTACTGATTATAACGGACTATAAAACACTGAATAAAGAACAACCCACAAGTAAGATAAAAACAAAGACAACCCTAAGCAAAAAGAGTCACAGTTGCCACCCCTGCAGGTAATTATCAGACCAACTGCTTATTCTGAAAATTATAAAGAAAAGGCTCTCTTTAGAGGTAAAATGGTATGATGTCCGAAATAAATGGTTCAAAAAAGTGTGCAAATGTAAAAGCCAATGTAGCACATATACTGAGCCCAGGTGGTAGGTATATGATTATTTACAACTCTTTCAATGTAACTATGTTTGATATTTTGAATAAAAAGCTAAAAAAACCTCTTTGGCCTTTTAAAAGTCACATTACTTTATATAAAATAATATAATCCTTTAAAACTAACTTTATTATCTTCAATATATTTTTATAAAATAACATCAACAACTTAGAGTGAAGTCCTGATATAGCATACTTTGTGTTTTAAAAAGTGTATCTTAAGAGTTTAAAATGTATGAGCTACACTCGATTTAATTTTCCTGTTTATGAATGAAAATTCATATATTTTAAGTACATATAGAGCCTAAATATTTTTATAAAAAATATATCAGGATCTGATACAATACCTTTACTACACAAATGAATATTATATATAGCCTCAAATATATATTCAAATTTGGATTTCCTATAAGATCAAATAAAAGGCTATCTTACATATTTAAAATCACTGCTATTTTGAGTTAGTTTAGTAAAAAGTGTATACATACTTGATATCTTCTGAGCAAAGGTAAATGTTACTACATGCTCCTCCATGACATTCTCCAAATGCTGTTTTTCTTCTTGTAGTGCCATTCCAATTAAATGTAACACCTCAAATAAACAGGTTTTGTAACTTTTAGTAAACAAAAGTGCATATTTTTATCAGAAATAACAAAAAAGAATTTAGTATTGAAAAAAAGAAAAATCAAAGTATTAATGATTAAGTGCAATAAAAACAATTCGAAGTATTAATTTTTATTAAATTCAAACTTTACGGTTCATTTTGTAATAAAGCAAGGGAACAATTTCTATTTTAGCTAAGAAGAAAATTCAACTGCAAATGCTTAGGGTAAGTTAAAATTATTTCCATATGTGACCAGCAACTCCAGGACTTAAAAAGCTTTGAGATTACTCTAGGTCTAGGGAAGCCTAGAGTACAGAAACCGAATCCCTACAGTCTTAAAAAATCTTCTAAGAATCAATGGCCAAATGATTATAGCTGCAAACATCTACCATGTAATTATCTAGTCTACAATACAACTTAGTTTAATTTCTGTATCTAAAAATCTTAATCATCTCAGAAAGACACATACTTTTATCTCTAATACCCTACAATTTACAAAGATATTCAGAGTTCTTCAGTATATCTCAAAAAATTAATTACCAGACTTCTAAGAAAACATGTTACTACACTGACTCTACCTGTATTTTGATTGCTCATACCGTGCTTTCCAATTTTTGAAGCAGATATGTGCGTGGTGTCTTTGCACCTGTCCTCAGACATAGGGCTCTTGTGGTTGTCAGATGTGCTAAAACTTGGTTAGCCTGAATGACAGGCAGCAACCGCTACAGTAGGACCAGTCAATGAGAGACAGATTGGCCAACAGGACCAAGATAATCACAACCATGTGGTCTAAAAAAATCTGTCAGGCTTGTATTTTATCGGCAGACACAAAAGCAGTAACAATATATTTTAAATTAAGGTAACTAACACTACATTTGTCCTAAATGTTCTGTGTACAGATACTGACAAAAGTATTTTGGCTTTTACTACAAAAGATATAAATAATAAATGTCTTCAAACCTACCCTTTGCAACATGGACTCAGACCAGGCATATCCATTATGTTCCACAGCCCAGTGCAGTATTGTTCTTATGATGTACAACATGACATCTGACTGCAAAATGTTAACCAGGCTTGCAAACAGAGGGCAGAATGGAGGCAAAGCTGGAGGTGGAAGCGCTGAAAATAAAGTTATTATTGGTTTCTTCTGTAGAACATGCTTAAAAAACTATTTCTTTATTAGATACGTTTGATAGTCTTCACTCAAAGAATTATTCATTAACATGCATCTTAGAGCTATATTTTACCTTAAGGACAGTCAAATGCCTAAAAACAGCTTCATAAATAGCAGTACAAAGGAAAGGCTTTCTTTTCTCTAGAAATTTCTTAAAACCTGAGATAAAACCATTAAGCAAGAGATGACTCAGTATAGGTGATTTCTATATTAATATATTTATTAGTCCTGTGAATGTTCACTAGGGAAGCTTATATTTAGATCTTCCACTTCACCAGGATAAACATCAGTGTCAACAGAAAACAATTTTAATAACTAAGAGACTGACATGAGATTTTTGGAAAAATTAAAAATACCTGTATCTTCCCTATTTTGTCTTTTTAATTTCCGTTGAGCTTCCTCTGCCTAATAAAAGAAAAGTAATTTGGACAGGAAATTAGTAATACAAAACAGCCTAATATCTGAAACTACTGACATAATCTTTGTCATATTATCTTCTGACTTCAGAAGATTTTTATCTTTAGTTTTTCAATTCCCCCATTGATATATCAAGGTTAATCCCCCCACTCCCACAATGGGTTCTGTTTTGCTTTACAATGGAGGAGAAACATGTACAACCAAAAACTATTTAGGTTTGAATGCTATGACATGCATCAAAAACCAAACAAAAACTTAATGTTTAAGTTTTATTTAACGCCATTTCTTGAAAAAGTATTTTAAGAGTAGACTGCTAAAAGGCAAAATTTAACTAGCTAAGAATAATTAGGAAAATTCCTAACTCACTCTGGAAAGGCGCAATGCTAAGTTGTAGCAATTCTGAAATGCGTATAAAAGAAACTGATTATAATACAGGTTGTCAATTTGTCTTCAAAGGCCAATAAAATACAGTTATATGTGTGTGGGTATGTACACTATCATATAGATCTTATATATCTATCACAAAACACTGGGGGCGGGGACACCCAAAATGTTAGGTGGTGTTATAAATAACTTGTCTTTTCTTGTTTGTATCTTTTTATATTTTCCAACTTTCCTACAATAAAAATGTATCCCTTTTTACTCTGTGAAAAGCAGTAAATTTTGCTTAGACTGAAACAACAGGAAAACCCAACCCAACCCAACCCTTCCCCAGTACACTTTTAATTTTTCCAATTACCTTGGACTGCTCTGCCCTTGAAAAGTGATAGAAATATAAGCTGAACTCTTTGGCACATTCTGGTTTCAGTTCATACATGCCTCTTCCTGTTAATCCAGGCTTCCTAGGGGGAAAAACGGTCCTTAAAATACTATTACTAAAGTCATACTAATGACTAATTCATGAGATAGTCTTAGATAACAGAATAAAAAATCAGAACTATTGCCCTAGCTCAGTGGTCGGCAAACTCATTAGTCAACAGAGCCAAATATCAACAGTACAACGATTGAAATTTCTTTTGAGAGCCAAATTTTTTAAACTTAAACTATGTAGGTAGGTACACTGTTATTAACTTAATTAGGGTACTCCTAAGGCTTAGGAGTGGTTGAGTGTCCAACTATGAACCAGGAGGTCCCAGGTTTGAGCCCAGTCAAGAGCACATACCCGGTTGCAGGCTCGATCCCCAGGAGGCAGCCAATCAATGATTCTCTTTTATCATTGATGTTTCTATCTATCTCTCTTCCTCTCCCTTCCTCTCTGAAATCAATAAAAATACATTAAAAAAACAACAACATAACAACAAAAACCAGAACTCTCATATATTGCTGGTGAGTGTAAGCTGGTACTCCTTACCTTTTTAAAAAATATATCTTTATTGATTTCAGAGAGGAAGGGAGAGGGAGAGAGAGAGAGAGAAACATCAATGATGAGAGAGAATCATTGATTGGCTGCCTCCTGCATGCCCCCTACTGGGGATCGAGCTTGCAACCCAGGCATGTGCCCTTGACCGGAATTGAACCCAGGACCCTTCAGTCCCCAGGCTGATGCTTTATTCACTGAGCCAAACCAGCTAGGGCTGGGACTCCTTTCTGTGGATGAAATTGGCAATCTACATTCCACACTTTACATGTATCCATTTTATCTAGCACATCCACATTGAGTTTACCCTAACTGGACAAGTGAATCTGATGGCGGTGCAGTTGCAACAATTCAAAGTCTAACAGGGAATAGGTTACACACATAATGACATCTCCAAACAATAGAACACCATTAAAAATGATGTTAACTTCTATATTTTGACATGTAAAGATGTCTGCAATACCAAGTAGAAAAAAGTAGGTACAATTTTAGGATTTAAAGAATTATTTTCTATATATGTATATTTTTTCTTAAAGTGTGTCTTGTCTTCATAAGTGACAAAAATAAAGACATTGCCATTGGGATGGGGACCAGGAAGAAGGAGGATTAAGACACTGCCTCCACAACCTTATGGGGATAAACTAGTTTACTGAATGGGCCACACACTGGACACCAGAGACGGCAGCACTCAGAGGCCATTCCACAGCTTAGGTGGCACATTCAAATGTAACAATGAAAGCAATTTTAAGGAAGCTTAATGCATTTATTTACATCATCTGCTCAGGTTAATTTTAATTATCTAAAGCTATGAACACCTATTCTGAATACAGTGAAAATCTTCGTAACGCTACTTTAAGTTGCTGAGCACAGGGCTAGATAATAAAAAGTCAGTGAGAAATATAGTTGTGAATTATGTATTTGGAAATGTTACTCTCTGAAGGCAACAATATCATTCTCAGTTCCATCAAATGAAGCACTCTAAAAAAATGAATGTATAAAAAAAATGAATGAGAAAAAATATAAAGTAAACTCACTTGAAATGGGCAACTGCTTCAATGACACTCTCCATGCCAGTCTCCTTGTTCTCCTAATGGTATAGGAAACAAATTAAAAAGAAGTCATTACCATAGGGAATCAAGGTGACAGCTTTCAAAAGGAATTAAATGAAAACAAAGTACATACAATATTTAAATAAAATTTGTGTACAATACTGTAATGTTTTGTGAAGCAGTTATACTAATTTCTTATCTATGTTCAGTAAGATAACATTTCCTAAATCATATCCCATTCATAGTAAGATGTTACTAAGAATACTGTGAATAAAGAATTTTCTGGTGAAAAATGTTTGGTAAGAATAGTTGCAAGGCATATTCACTTTTAAAATGCTGTTTTAAATTTTATTACTCCTTATTCTAAAGTCTAACTGAAATTAATTGCTTTATCTAGTAACTCAGGATTCATTTCTTGCATTAAAAAGTACAACTAATTTTCTTTTTAAGATCAATAAAAATTTTTTAAAAAATATATCTTTATTGATTTCAGAGAGGAAGGGATAGATAGAAACATCAATGATGAGAGAATCATTGATTGGCTGCCTCCTGCACGCCCCTCACTGGGGATCAAGCCTGCTGCAACCCGGGCATGTGCCCTTGACCGGAATCGAACCTGGGACCCTTCAGTTCGCAGGCTGACACTCTATCCACTGAGACAAACCAGCCAGGGCTCAATAAAATTTTTTATTGATTTTTAGAGAGAAGAAGGGAGAGAGAAAAACATAACATCAATTGCTGCATGCCCCCTACCAGGGATCAACCCAGCAACCTGGTATCGACGTGCCCCGACCAGGAATAGAACTGGCAACCTTTCAGTGCACGAGCAATGCTCAACCAACTGAGCATCACTGGCCAGGGCTAAAGAACAATAAAATCCTATCTTACCTCGATAGTTAGGGATATTAAAAAATTACTGTTGTTTTCTTTCCGGTGTGTTAATGACATATAGACAGATTTTCTTAAAAGCCCTTCTCTTTTAGATCAGTTTCTCAACATTGGTACTCTGACCTTTGGACCAGCTAATTCTTTGTTATGGGGTGTGTGTGTGTGTGTGTGTGTGTGCGCGCGCGCTCACACGTGTGCACGCACATATCCTGTATATTGTACAATGTTAAGCAGTATCCCTGGCCTATGCTCACTGGATGCCTGTAGCAACACACACCCTGCCTGAGTACCAAAGGTCCCCTTGGGGTCAAAATCATCCCTGGTTAAAAACTGGTTTAGGTATGTACAGTGCTATTAATAGATGAAATGGTAAACCTCTACAAAATAATCCAGTGGGGTGTAGGGACGAGGGGTTGGGGTAAAGATAAAACAAGACTGGCCATCTGTTGAAGCCAGTGATGGGTTCTTTATGTTTTCTATTTCTACAGAGCTTCAGAAGTTTTCATAATGCGAAGTTTAAAGGAAGGATTCCGATGCAACAGTACAGGTTTAAATCCTAGAAGAATGAAACTAGAGTTCAAAGTTTCTATCTATATTTAACATTTGGGAAAACATTTTGAAAAGACTCAATGAAAATTAAGTCCTTTCCCAACTTTAACTTTGGGGTTTCTAAAAAGCCCTTGGCTGAAAAATAGGTGGCTTAGCACTTATGATCCTGGGAGGGAAAATCATTATAATTAACCTATGAAAGCCCATGTGCGTTACCATTTTACATTCACTAAAAAGAGAAATGGTTCAATAAGGAATCTTCAGAAGGAAAAGGTTCTGGAAAATGTTAGTTTACTCAACACAGCTGAGTAGGTTTTTCTTACTCCCTTCTTCAAAATACTCTATCCATGTCAACTTTGTACTAAAGATCCTATAGTAACCTCCCTCTAATGGATATCATTTTTATATAACATACTTCATTTCCAAGGACTAGATTTACTTTTATTCAGCTACTTACCTCTTTCAAAGCTTCACTGTAAAATATTCTGTTCCTATGCTGCTTTCCACTTCCAGTCCCTAGTATTCTCTTTTTCTGATTATTTCTAGTAAGAGTGACTTGAGTTATACATGTCCTCGAATTGTGGAAAAGGTATATAAAGTAAATCTATAAATACTAAGACTGATAGGTAGAAAAAGACTGTTATAATTTTCTTTTTAAAAATGTAGGTACTTACATCTTCAGGTAAAGACTTTACCAATTCACTATGAGCCATAGGTTTGATGCTCAACTGATGGATAATCTCTCGCTTAATTTCATCTGTAGCGTTTACCTGTCCAACGCCAGGACTAAATCTCTCTCCTGTTAACAATGAAAAAGTATACTCACACACACACATTTAACATAAATATAATACTTATGTGACATATACTTATAATTCACACAACACAATATATTTTTCTTTCTGTATAATGGAAAAGCAATGACTGGCCTAGCAACGAGCTAGGGGAGTGGAGCTCCCAATTGTACTTCTGAGTCTCAGGAACAACTGCTGAGTGCAGGTTTTAGACAGTGGCGAGAACTTTGGTTGCAATTTTGAAAGAATAGAATCAGAAGGTTGGACGGGATTAGATACAGTAAAGACTTGGTACAGCAATAGTTGTACCAGTAGTCTAGGGAACTGCTTTCATGCCACCTGCCACATGGTAGCAGGGAAGGAGAGCCTTCCTCTGAGTCCTATCTAGTGGCAAATGAGATATCATCTTCTAATACCTCCTTCACTGGTATCTCCTCCTGATAGTTGCCAGGAGTCTCTGTGATATAGACTTTAGAGTCTGAAATACCAGGGGAGGTAGAAGAAGGTAAAGAAGAAAAGAATAGCAAAGATGGAGGCAACAGGACTGAAAATATAGGCAATAAAATATCTGCATCGACTAGCTATAGGTCTCTGTTAACTCGGAACTGTTATGTCTGAAGTCAATATGTCACTTTTGCACCACAAACCATGGAGGGAAATATAGCTAAGATATAAAGTAACAGTAAATAGCTCCTAACTATCCTATTCTTGCTAGCTAAATTCTCCTGCTCCCCCACTCCACAACACTAAGAGTCTTTCACAGTATCCTGCTTCAGCAGTTGCACTCTCTTTTTCCCGAAGCAACAGCGTTGTTACTCTCACCATTACAGTAAGCAGAGGGGAGAAAAATCTCCTTCCCCTAAAACTGAGTAACCACCCAAACAAAAGAAACATGGTTTAGAAACTCTGAACTACATGCTACCACAATAGCCAATATCATTTGCAAACGTCTCAAAACAATTCAGACTTACCAACCAGCATTATAATGAGGTACAGCATTTCTTCTATCAGAGTGTTGTTTTGCTGGACTACATCCTGTGACAAGTGGTGGGGGAATAAAGCTCAGAGATAAGAATGAAGATACTGTATTATTTCAATGATTAACATAAAAAAACGAAAGCTGTTTCTTTAATGATGTGTTGTGGTCTCATGAAACATACTCTTACCTTATGGGTAATTTCAGAACTAAGTCTTTTTCCATAGTCTGGAGTACTGAAAATCTGATAAAGTTCGAAGCGACTGAGCATTATCATCAGGAAATGATTTGGATCCATCATGGAGACACCTGTCTTTTTTTTTTTTTTTTAGATGAAGAAAAAGAGGAAGGTCAAAAGCCCTATTAAACAATTAGTGAAAAATATTTTGGCTTGTACAAGAGAAAGCTGCTTACTTGTTCACCAATCCCAATAAAAGATGGAAACCCATTTAACCCCATTCCCTACTTGTGGTAGCTTTACGTGTGGACAGGAATCTAAGCTAGTAAAACAAAACAAAACAAAACAAAACAAACCAAAACAAACCCCTAAATCCATACATCAGAATAATGTGGATTTTATGTTCTCTTTTCTCTTAATGCTTTGAATTAACTGTATCCCTCTGGATTCTATTCTAAAGTTTTATTTCAGGGTTCCCTCATGGCAAATTCAGGGAGTTTTAACATAGTTAAGTATCATAGTTCTTGGAAATCAATTTAAGGGGTTGGGTTTTTAGCCAGAGAGAAATGAAGAAAGGATAGCTTTCAGGTTACTTACTTTAACAATTATATGATAGTTGAACATTTCACCAAGGTAGAAAACTCAAGAGATGAAGGAGGTATGGAGGAAGTAAGAGTTATATTTTGAATATGTTCATGTTAAATCTGAAATGTGTCCAAAAATCTCGATGGAAATGTTCTATAGCCCATTAGTCATATAAGTTTGGAGTTTAGTAGATGGGGCTAGACTAGAGTTATTAGACCTGGGAGTGATTATAAGTGTTTGGGTTCTATGGAATTAATAAGAAAAAAAATACTCCCCATACCTTTAAGTGTAATGTTTTTAATTCATTACCTGAAGCATTATTATATCCTTGTCAAACATTTCACGTCTGCATTTCACATTATGGTAGTAATAAATCTAAAAAAAAAATTCATTATATTGGGTAAATAGGCTTTCATTTGTGCAGCTCCATCCTCTCCCCACATTCCGAAAGAGCAAATGGGTTTTGGGCAAGTGTGCATGCGCACACAATGTGGTTTCTGCAACAATACTCTTAATAAAGATTAATGAATTAAAAATTTCCATATTACAGTGGTCACTCCATGGTTCACATTTTGGATCCAACTTTCTGAATTTCTCAACAAAGTTATTTCTATAAGGTTCATAGCTAAGAAAAATGGGGGGGGGGGGACCTATATCAATCCTTGGTGAGGTTTAAAAATTAAAACCTCAATTTTGGAGTTATACTAACAGAAATTTTATCGTTAAACCTAATTTAAGTAGATAAAAATCTGAATTTTAATTTTTTTAAATATCTAACTTTGTCCTAAAAATGATTGCAAATAAAGAATCAAGAAAAGTGCACTCCTACCTTAATATTGTTTCTTGACAAAGTATAGATAAAAGTTTTAAAAACTTTTTGGTTTAACATATTTATCTTCTCAAATAATTTTAATATAGGTACAACTTTTAATGACTAAGTACATTGAAAATTACATCCTTCACAGAAGCCAAGGAATGAATTGAAAAATCTCCATAGAATTAAGACACTTACCTGGTTTACCAGAGAGAACCCATTTCTCCTCCACATTCCTGCGTGTACTTGGGCACATAAAACAAGGCATCTAAGAGGGTGTTCTATCAACATGGGTGGGCTGAGTTCACTCTGTATATACAAAAACAGAAACACAAAGGTCTCAATGCTGAAGAATACTGTTTGATAGAGACTGAAGTTTTAAATAAAACACAACTTAAAATTCTTTCAAAGTATGTTTGTGTGATGGTTAGTTTTATGTCAGCTTGGCTAGGCCATGGTACCATTTTTTAAGACCAGGCTAGATGTTTCTCTGAAGCTATTTTGTAGATGTGATTAATATTTAAGTCAGTAGTCTTTGAATAAAGCAGATTATTCTTCATAACAGGGGGTGGACCTCATCCAATTAGCTGAAGGTTTTAAGATAAAAGACTGAGGTCCCCCCAAACAGGAAGAAATTCTGCTTCCAGACTGCCTTTGGGCCTCAGACTGCAATGTCAAAGTTGGGAATCTGGCCTGGCCTGTCAAACTGCCCTGCAGCCATATTTCAGACTTGCCAGACCTCATAACTGCATGAGCCCATTCCTTACAATGAATCATTCTAAGTCTCTTCCTCTCTCCATACATAAACACGTGAGCACGCATACACACACTCTTCTTTTTCTCTCTTTATCGATTCTGTTTCTCTGGAGAACCCTGACTAATAAACTTTGTTCCAAAATGATTTCAAATACACGAAGCATAATAAATAGGCATTTACTTTTAAAGTTAGTACTACTTACTAGAGGTAGGAGCTCTGGAAATTTATATGCCACTTCACTTTTGCTTAATAACACGTGCAAACCTACATGGAAGAACAAACAAAAATGTATTTTTATAAGTGAAACTCTTTAGGAGAAAAAACCCCCTAAATAATCACTCACTTTAGATAACTTCTTTTCTCTTTGAGAACCTATCATGCTACAAATTATGATATAGAATGAATTACACTAATAAATAAAGCCTTCCTCTCACGAACCTCTGCATCAAAGGCACACTTGGAACTAGCCTTAATTACATGTACCAACATACACTGATGACATTTTCTAAGTAAATGTTAGGCACAGAAACATAGCAAGAGCAGACATATAACTATCAAAGTAACTTATATATGTTTGCCAACGTTAACAGTCATATTTCACTTGGTAATGGAGTTTCTTCCCATTTGAAGTATTGTAGTGCAAGATCCTTCTAGAAACTGAACAGAGAAACTGGCCCTGGGATTCACTGTATTGATGTTAACCTCAGAATTAAGTTCTTCAGAACTTCCAGTTTAGGATCAAAGCTCTCTATTTCCTAAATGCAAAGGGCTCATTCATAGCTCAACCTTAGTGCCGGGAGCCGGTCCATCCTTGCTGTTTCAAGGGACCTGGCATATATGGCATACTGTTCTTAAAATGTTTGGTCACATTCTTGGCACTATGTGTTTTAACCAAGGTCACCTCTCTGAGAAAGGTTGTTTCCCCAGGTAGGGATTTTCCCCTGAAGTTAGGGAGGGAATAAAACCTCTTAACTGCCAGGCGGGTAATTAATCACTTTAACTACGAACAATCATGCTTATGTACATAATCTTTACTCCCTGGAATGGAGATAAGAAACGCCCTAACCTTTGGAATAGAGATTGATAGGATTGGGATCAACTGGTATAAATACAGATGTAACAAGACAGAGAGACAGAACTTAGATGAGGATCCGAGAGACAGAACTTAGAAGACAGAACTTAGAAGACAGAACCTACACAGAACCTAGAGACAGAAGATCTTCGCTGGAGAGAACATGGCAAAAGATCCTGGACTGAACCTGACTACAGAAATTGGCAAGAGAACCTGACTGGAGATCCTAACCAGAACTTTGCTGAAGAACCTAGACATAGAACTTGGCTAGAGAACCTCACTATGATGATCATCTGAATGCTGTCTCCGTGTCATTCCTTCTTTGCCGACTCCGTCTACACCTTTGGGAACCCCTGGACCTGCTGGGGTTGGACCCCGGCACCTTAGATAATTCTGTTAACTAAGAATTAATTGTCCTGTTTATGTTGTATAAACAGACAATGCTTTTTACAATTTTATCAATAAACTAGAGGCCCGATGCACGAAATCTGTGCAAGAGCCTTACCCGCCCAGCCATGGGCTGCTTAGCCCCCGCCTATCATGGCTTCATCTGGAAGGAAGGACATCCAGAAGGACATCTGGTCTAATTAGCATATTACGCTTTTTTTATTATAGATATTGGCCACTTGGTCAAGCCTGGTTTGAGGCTTTCCTCATCCAAGAAGACTTGCATTATGAATCTCATTCTAATAACATATACAGTACTCTCAGCATTTGCCACTCAAGCTCCATTAGCACACACTCCAAGTTGTTCTTGAACTGTTTTGGATATGCTTACTTAGCTCTCCAATTAGATTATAAGCATTCAGGCCAAGGCTTGTCAAACACAGTGAGACAGAATGCTCAAAAATGTTCAATGACAGCCCTGGTCAGTTTTGCTCAGTGGTTAGAGGGCTGCGGATTTAATTCCCAGTCAAGGGCACATACCTCTGTTTCAGGTTCCCCAGCACTGGTAGGGGCGTGTGCAGGAGGTAACCAATCAATGTGTCTCTCTCACATCAATGTTTCTCTTTCTCTCCTCTGATCCTCCTTCCCTTCCACTTTATTTTAGAAATCAATGAAAAAAATATCCTCAGATAAGGATAAAAAAAAAAGTTCACTGAGAGAGCTGAGGGAGGTTAAAAAGGTAGGCAGAAAATGGTACATTTCAGAGTATTGACTATTTTCTCTGTGGATAACTATCAGCATCAGTTACCACTCAAACAACCAGATTTTTAAAGGCAGAAAAA